GGGAGGGGGGGGGCCCAGGCGCCCCCCCACCAGCACATCTTCCCTGGCCACTGGCAGGTCCTCCAGGTTGAGCTGGCTGGTGGGACACTGCCTCCCGTTTGCAGGGGAAGCTGAACTCCTCCAGCCCAGCCTTAGCCCTCCTCTGCGATGGGCCCAGGCTGTGCTAAGGGCACATGCCCAGGGGGAGCCTCCCTGGGTCACACAGAGCCACCTGCAAAGGGTTTGGCCCCGATGAGATCATTAGCTAAAATCCCCCTTGCCTTCACCACCTCTCCTCCCGCCAGCAGCCCAGCGAGCCTGCCTGCTCCTCGCCTCCTCCCGGTCCCCCCAAGCCCATGGGTTTGCGCTCATTGCTGGGGTCAGCCGAGGCGGGGTGATCCTGTCTCGGCGTCTGTCCCCACGCGGGATGCGGCACCCGCACAGCCCCACCTGCGAGGCTGTTTCCAGCTGGTGCCCCCCGACGTGGCCCGTGTCCATCCTGCCTCGTCTGCAAGAAAGCAGGACTGGGCTCTGACAGCGGTAGGAGCTCCGTTTCACTTTTTTTTTCCCCCAATAAAGGGACGTTTTCACTCTTAGTTCTATCTAAAATACCCTCTGAGGGGGTTTTCCTGGAGGAAAATCCCCTTTTCCTGGTGGGGAAGGCATGCAGAGTGCCAGCGCTGGGAAGGCCTCAGGGCAGGCTTTGCTCTCCCCTCCTTTTGTTCTGGGCAGTTTAATAAAAGGTGAATCCAGCTGGTGGTGGTTGGTTATTTGTCCTGAGGGGGAGCAGGGGGATGTGTCCGAGCCCCAAACCCCTGCCCTGCCCGGCTGCAGGGACACACCAGGGCCGGCTCCCCTGCCACGGGGGCGCGGGCAGTGTTTTGTATCCAGGGATGTTATCCCTGTGGATGTTTGCCGGGATGCTTGGGCATTGGAGGGGGATGCAGCTGGGAAGCAGCTGGGTCTCGTTGCCCATCGTGGGATGGTGTCTGTGCCCCCTGCACGGGGATGCCCTGGGCGCCTCCACCCTCCCTGGCCAGTGACCTTCACGCTTCCAACCTTTCCTGGTGCCTGGGCTTCCCTGGAGGCAGCTTTGGGCTTTGATGTCACCCCAAATCTGTGCAGGCTTGTAACAACTGGGACTTCCTTGTTCCAGTCTAAAACGGCAGGGATTTGGGCTTCAAGACAGCTGATGCCCAAGCAGGCAGGTACGGGGGTGGGCAGGAGCCCTGGTGCGGGGCCGGCTGGCAGAAGGGCAGAGCAGTGCGGGCAGGGCCGGCCGGCAGCGGGGCTGCTGCGCTGCCTGGGCAGCCGAGGGGGTTCCTCACCTGGTGCCTTTCTTTGGGGATGTTCTCCGGCACGGCTGCCTGCTCCCTGCCAGGTTCTCCACCCCACTGGAGGGAGAGATAGGACTTTACGCCCACTCTCGGGGTGCGACGTGGCCGCAGTAGATCCATCCTTCCTGCCCCTGGGCAGCAGGACTCTCATGCAAGCTGCTCAGCCTGTCCCCTCGTCCCGTGTGCAGGCAGGGAAGGGACTGACGAAGCCAGGAGCACAGCCCTGGGCGGCGCAGGCAGGCGCTGCAGTGCTGGCACGAGGGGCTGGTTTGCCAGACCTCGGCCTGGATGCTCCCCAGGGCCCTTGGGGGTGTGTGGTGTCTCGCAGGCAGGAGGGCAGGGGGTGGGGAGCCTCCCACCACCAAAATGCCCCGGCTGCGGTTCCCCCAGGTGCTCAGCAGCTGCATCGCTTTGCATCAGTGGCCTAAATCTGGACCAGCTGCGTGAGCCTTGGTTTAAATAGGACGGGAGAGGAGGGGGAAGCAAGCTGTGAGCATATAAACCAGCTTAAAAATGAGGCTTTCGTTGGCTTCTCAGCTCCTCAGTGGTGCCGCTTCATGCTGATCCCCCCAGCTCAGCCCCTCTCTTGCCGTGTCCCCTCTCCCCCGCCTCCCCAAGGCTGTCAGCCCGAGGCGTGGATGCGCTGCGGTGCCCTCGCCAGCAGAGCCGGGCCGCAGACGCAGACCTCTCGCCCTGGGACACCCTCCGAGCGGCCAGGATGGGGCTGGCACCTCTCCCGCTCCTTCCACCAATTCCTGCACAAGTCAGAGCCTGCATGGCATCGCCCCGGGGAAACCCACCTCTCCTGGAGCTGGGAGCGGGAGAACCACAATCCGGAGGCTGAGCCAGCCTTGCGCGCTCCCTCTGGATTCAGCTCGGCGCTGGCAGTGCTCGGTGGCTCCGTGCTCGTGCCACAGAGCTCGCTATGCAACCAGGCAAAGGCAAAGCCCGGCGGAGGCACCGGGGCTGGCGGCATGACATCTGCACTGCGGAGCCTGTCTGGGGCGCAGGACGGAGCTGGTGAGGAGCTGACGGCGCAGAAAGCGGGGCACCGGCTCGGGTTTACAGCTGCTTTCGTGCAGCCCAAGCTGCCAGGCAGCGCCACCGGGGAGCTCGGTTGCTTAGTGACTGCCTGAGCCCCGGCCCGCTTTTGGAAGCTGGTGATGGTGTGAGGGTGGCAGATGCTGTTCACCCCCAGGTGCCATGCTGGCCTGGGCTGCCCCGACCTCCCCGACATCTGCACTGCTGGAGAAATCCTCCTCCTCCTCCTCTTCCACCACTGCTCCCCCGGGGCTGCAGCTGGGGCAGTGGGTGGCTGGGTGGGGGGCTGCCCTGCCCCTCGGTCCTGCCCTGGTGACCTGCAGAGGGATTTGGAGGCATGAGAAAAACCTTTCAGAAATTCTCAGTGAACTGGGACTTTGCCATCCCTCGTAATTCCCATGGGAAAAGGGCTTGCGGCGGCTCCCCGGGGATCGCAGCCTGTTCTCGCCACCTCCTCCCGCAGCAGACGTCACAGCAGAGCCCCCAAACGCTCCCCAGCCCAGGGCTCGCCGCTCGAGGCCATCCAGGAGCAGGCAGTAGCCGCACACCCAGTAACACCCGTGGGTCTCCTTCCCCGAGGGTCCTCGGGCTCCCCCTGCACCCACACTGCCTCTTGGTGTTCCCAACAGCCTGGGCCAGGGGTAGCTTTGTCTGCCAGCGGCATCTTCACCTCCAGGGTTTCAAAATCAACCTTGAATGGCCAGTGTGGACCACGAAGGGTCTTGGGAAGAAAGCAGGAGGAGCAGGCGGCTGCTGGCTGCGGTAGCGAGCAGAGTACGAGCTGGGAGCAAGCTCGGCTCTGTGCCTGGAGATGCCCACGGCCAAATTACATCTGGAAATGGCACAGGGAAATGCAGGCTTGAAGCTGGGGTTGGTTCAGAGAGGGCCCCTCCATGGAGAGCACTGGGAAGGAGGCTGGGACAGCGCTGGGACGCGCCAGGCTGAGCTGCTCTCATCCCCCACAGGCACGAGGAGAAGGGACGGGCCGGCTGAGACCTTAGGTTGAGGATAACAGCGGTGGTGGCAACGGAGAGGGCAGAGACGCTCCACAAAAAAACCTCCAACACACCGTAGGAAAAAAAAAAAGGTTTTATTATCACCGTTATCAACATTTTCATTAGCTTAACACTGAATTGTAAATCACTCAATCATTACATATTGTCTGAATAAAACCTACAGACAGGAAAAAAGTACAGCAGAATCCTCTCCCGCCTACAGCCGAGCGGCCGGCGGCGCTGCCGGGACGGCGTCCCCCCTTCCACCCAAGGCAGCCCGGGCACCTCGCAAGCAGCTCGCCGCGGCGGCAAGCAGGCTGCCCGGCTCCATTGCGCTGCGTTCCCTCTGGCTCCACGGAGATTACATCTCACCGGATGATGTTAAAAACCTCCAAAAAGATTTGGAGAGGGTTACAGAGGCCAAAAAGAGCAGATCGGCTGCCCCCACTCCTACGGAAAGGCAAGAGGAGAGGTAGCAACCCTGTAGTGCCCCTGCAAAGCTGTCGGTTTTCGTGGAGCGATTAATGAAGTAAAAAGGTTTAACCCCGTGAGAGCAGATTTCCCTACCGTGGCCAGGCCCCTGGGCAGCGGGGGTCCGAGGCAGAGCGCCGGCGCGCTGGTGCTGGGGAGGTGGGAGCGCGGATGGGCTGGGGGTGGTGGCTCCGTCCCCGAGCAGAGGCCAGCTCTGCAGCACCGCCCCGGGGCTCCCCGCGGGCAGCGTGGGATGGCAGCTTCAGTGCAAAGAGATGCTGCGGGCAGCCTCAGTCCCCTCGGGCTGGAATAAGGCCTCGTATCGAGAGGGAAGGGAGAACCCACGTAGGGAGCAGCGGGCGCAGGGGAAAGCGAAGGGAACCTGGAGGAAAGCTCGCGGGGAGCTCCCCTT